TCTCTCTCTCTCTCTCTCTCTCTCTCTCTCTCTCTCTCTCTCTCTTTCGCTGAACTGTCTGTCACTTCTATAGCTCTTCCTCTCTACCCGGTATTCAGCTGATCGTCACCTGCTGGTTTCTGGCTTGCGCCACGCGAGACCGTTTCTCGTTGCGTTGCAACTACTTCCTATTTTCAATGTTTTCCCCTCTCTTCCTTGTCAATCGCCTGACGTCTAACCATCCAACAGCTACTTATTTCGTACACTTTATCGACAGATAAATTGACGAAAGTTCGCTGTTTTCGTGAAATCTTACTGCCCGTGATTAACATTCAACGTTGATCTGATATTCTCGATGTACACTCATTCTAGAAAATGATTTGTCGGCACGTTGCTCCGTCGCGATATTAAAAAAAATTCTGCAAGTAATTCATTCACTCACTCCTCGTGTTAATCCCGGCGCATCCTCGTTTAATGGTAAACTGTCGCGTCTGAGACACGGTTGGTTACTCAATTAATTAATTCGTTCTTTAATTAGAAACGTCTACGATATCATGGAAATTAGGAAGCTAGGTCGGCCTTTCAACCTATGCTCGTAGAAATGTAACGTTACATTCCGAGAGATTAGTAAGTCGAACGACAAGTTAAATTTGGCTGTCTGGTAACCAAACAGTTATCACGTTTACCGAACGGCGAGCAATACCTTTGAATCTGGATCGCTCTGTATCCTGGATCCTTTCTGCTTCTGGTTCGTGGCAGATCAATGTTTCAAGTGGCCTATTATTACGGCCAGCTTCTAATCCCATCCGATCGTGCACGTTCGTGATTAAAGAACGACCTCGGTCGAATCGATTTGTTGCAGAGAAATCCCATGAAACTCTCGATCGTGTTCCTTGCATTCGAGCACGCAGTCGGGATCAAAAACTCCGTCATCTGAGACGATTAAACGCGTAGTCTATCACGGATATAGAGTCGATTTTACTTTTATGGGTCAGCAATGCCGTTCGAAAGAGAGAGAGAGAGAGAGAGAGAGAGATTGAATACTACTTGACGATATTAAAATTCCCGTGCACGTGCTTTTTCTGTAGTAATATGCCGTGAATGCGAGGCGACAAGTACGACAACGGATTCGCGTCACATTCTTTCAGCCAGGTTCCCCCGCGGAGCCTGGATCGAAGCAGATATTCACATAACTACGATCCCGCCCGGAATTATACTGTTGCATGAGTACACTCGTTCCAGAGCGTCTATTATGATCGCGCGAATAATACCGCGTAAATCCTATTCCTCTAATTCTCGCGACCGGTGCAGCTGTCTGTCGCGGCACAATACCGCTCTGCGCGGCACTCGGCTGATTTTCCGCTTTCATCTAGAATCTAGCGTTTTCGACGCACTGTTTAATCCTCCCAGCTAATTGTCCGCGTTATTACATAGATATTACGCCCGCGCGTATGATACGGTTTGACAAATGGCCAACCCTGTGCGTTACAGCAGCCTGTATCTTTGAGAAGAGGGGGAAAAAAAACTGAACAAAATGTACACCCTGCCCTTCTACAATAGTAAAGCTACGTAAAAATATTCGATTTGATCCTCCTGATCCTAGTTACGTGCGATGGGTTCTAACGATAAATCAAACGATCAAAAAAAAACGAGAAAGGAAATATCGAAAATATACAGGATGTTTCGCGAAAACTACCTGAATATCTTCTGTGAAAATTAGTGAAAATCGTACTCTTCGAGACGAATTGGATGGAAGGACTATTTTTTAATGTTTTTTTTTCAAGGTCACTGACATTTTTCACGTAGGAAACGTGTATTTTTTTCCTGTCCCACGTGGAAAAGTACATTTAGACACGTTTATGATAGAACCTTTAAGTAACCATGGACTTAAAAATGTTTAAATTAATGTGAACTTGCATCAGTCTCTGAGACGAAACCAAGGGGAGACATCACCAATCCCCTACAGTCGAAGAAAAAGTGACAAAAGCATCAAATAACAAAATGCTTGCCGTAGCTAAAGAGACATACGTTCTCTTAATAAATCTTCAACGTTGCATTAGCAACGGTGTTTGAGACAAAGCCAAGTCTAGCAGAGGGATGGTCGTGAGTCCGTTTGTGACTCGGCGCAACGGTGAACCGTGACAATAAACCACTTGAAATATTAAGCTTACACGCGGAGCCGAGGAGAATCGATAGAGCGATCCAGACGCAAAGAAACGAGGAGGTTGGTAGTTCGTCTCGCGTGGAAAATTTCAATCTGGAGAGGAGAAAAAGTCGCCGGTCTCTCAGATCGCTACACGGTTGAATGTTTAACAAGGGTCGCCGGAGCAGTCGCGGAAGCCAAAAGGATGCCCTGGACGCACGAGAATTCAAGAAAAATCGGACACGTCCGGCTGCCAGTGGGAAACGGACGAGCAGAGCCTCGGAAGCTAGCTATCGCGTAAATAAATAAAGTAACCGGTGCCAATGCGTGACCCCATTAGACGGTCCCCGCTTTACGGTACCGTGTTTCGATGCAGTTGTAACATCGCCGGCAGCGTTCTACGGGGCATCCTGATCTCGGCACACCGGACGGGGCGAACGCCAAGCGAAATAAAACATTCACCGGTTCGCCGCTGCGCTCTGCGAATCTTTTTCTTTTGAAGGGACACACAGGTTTCTTGAATAAAATTTGCATACGCGCGGCGTCGCAGTGTCGCGATCGCGCGCCCAGGGCCCGTGCCAGCGTTACCGGTTTAATTTGCGCGTCTGCAGCGCGACGGGACGAGTTTCCTCGGCGTAGAAAAGAGGATTAAACAGCTCTCTCTCTCTCTCTCTCTCTCTTTCTCGTCCAGATGCAAGGAGTTGCCAGGCAAATTAAGCGTATCAGCTCGAACAACCGCACGGCGTGCGATTAATGGCGCGCTCATGCTGTAAGTACAGGTTTTCGAATCTCCTTCTCTCTTCCTCGCTTTTTCTTGTTTCTTCTGGTTCTTCTTCTCATCGAACTGATACCGGGTACAAATGTAAAATCGAAGGACCAGGTATCGAGTTTCCAGCGTCGCGGAGTTAACTGGTTGGAAATGCGTATCACACGGATGCCCGTAGGAGGATCGTAACACGACGGTAGTTTTAGCTAATAATCGTATTCAACCGCGGTTATACCTACGTGTGTTTCAATAAAACGGGTTCTCGTGTCCGTTGCAACGGCTCTTATAATACTAATTTAACCGTCAGTGACGCGTCTTCTACGCGACGTCGTAGGTTACGCGTACGCAGTGTAAACGATCACCGTTCTCGCCGAAGAGAGGGTAATTTTCGAAACACGGGTGATTTCAATTTCTCGGGACCGGTGGCTCGATCGGACGGTTCGATACGACGCGATTCCCGGAGCACGAAGAATCGAGCAACGTCGAATTAGCGACGCCAACGACGCGACGCGGCGAGCTGCAATTTGTAGTTCGAGGCGAGGGCATTAACTGGGCGGTCGTTAAATTTGACCGGACGTCTTCTCGAGAGAGGATCGAAGAAACGTCGAGAGGGGACGCGTATTCTGCCCCCTCCCCCCGTATTCGTTCACGCGCGCACCGCGAACAAGCGCGCGTAAGTGGAACGCTGTCTCTACTCGCGCGCGCACGAGTGCAAGTAGATCGTCCGTGTGTTGGTACAGGGCACGGGAAGAGAGAGAGAGAGAGAGCGAAAGAGAGAGAGAGAGATATCTAATTGGATCGGTAAATCATCCTCTAACCAGGAGGGTGGTAGGCTAGGCACCGCCACCGGCAACCCTTTATTCTGTGTTATTACAGTCTAAAGTTACCCCGTGTAATTGTTGCTGTTTAATTGCAAACTCTAAGTCGTCGCGTTACACGTCGCGGCGCCCCGCGTATAATTGCCCTCCTCGAGTTCACCCGCTCGTTTTTTACCGACGAAATAATTGGAAACGATCCACCCTCTCTCTCTCTCTCTCTCTCTCTCTCTCTGTCTCTGTCTCTGTCTCTCTTTTGCTCTAGAGCGCACACACAGTTTCTCCACCCCTACCACGGGAAATATCTAAATCCGACCGAGAACGCCCGGAATCGTTTCGATCCGGGCCACGGAACGTTTGGGGCTTCGATCAAACGAGAATAATTGGCAGGATTGGCGGTACGCTAAATTACCAATGAAATCTAATCGTCGGCAATCTCGTTTGGTTAAAGTGAAAGACGGTTTGTAGGTCTTGCATTCTCTCGGATATATATATATATATATATACACACGGAGCCATTTGTTAAAATATCCCGCCGTACTGGGAGGATCGGACGATGAGAAGGAACAACGAGAAGGTTCAGACTTCGTCCGACGTCGAAGAAATTCGCACGAATTGCACGGATATCGAGAACACGCGTTACCTTGCCTGGCTTGGCTAGAAGTTTGGATATTGGCCACCCGTCAAATATATAGATCTAATATCAATAGCGATTTCCCTGTTTAGAATGTTTCAGTGCATCGTGCACAGGAAACGAACGTGTCTGCCCGGTTTTACAATATAGCGGCCATTATTAAACTTAAGTACGGAAGGCAAACCGAAACTTTTGGCCGCTATTATTGTATTTCGTTCTATCGTGAACGAGCTACGGCCCCGCAGACTGCGATAGAAATTAGGTTGGCGTTCCGAAACCCGCGCGTCGATCCCGCGATTCGTTTCGGAACGAATGGCACCGCGAAAACGGGCAATCGCGGAGGCTATTGGTTACCGAGGTCCCAGCGAAAAAGCAAGCAACGAACCGCAAGAACGCGGCTGGTGTGCAACACACTCTCTGGCACACCAGGCGGAGGGGGGGTGAATCACGGGGACAAAGGCAGGTTTTCGTTGATTCCGTTGAAGTCGGTTGAACCGCGATGAACGCGACACTGCTTTGGGCAGAGCGCGGCGCGCGCGGCTCCGTCGCTGCCCGCTCGGCCCATTGTCGAAGACAGACAATGCCACGCGATAAAAACGTAAAATTGATGCTCTTTTGTTCGCATTGTTTGAGAAGCTGTACAACGTTTGTCGCACGCCTGGACGAGCCACTGTTATTGGCTCCAAACTACATTCTCCTGTTCCGTTTCGCCTTCTCCCTCTCGTTCGTCGCGCGCGCCGCGCCACGGCCTTTCCTCTCGACCTCTCCTCTCCTCTCCTCTCGTCGCTTTCTCTCTTTCGCGCCAAGCCTTACGTACCAGCCGGAGACCGCTGCCAGAGACCATCCCGACTTTTGCTATCCTCGAAACCTTTCTCGTCTCGTCAATAAGCCGGCATTGTGTCTCGCCACGGTCCCATAGTTTCACCGTTTTACATTGACCGTCCCGCTTCCATCGAGAGCTTATTCTTTTCTTCTCCCATCCGTACTCGTTTCAGCTTCGT